AGAACAATTATAATGTATCATGCCAAATTAGAAAACGGTTGTACTTGTAGATTTTGAGTTAAGGGACCAAACACCGTCACAAAAAGTGTCCCCTTTTCTAAGACGGGTGATCATGACGTCGACTCGCCGAATCTGTGAGGGGCGGGACAGTTTCCCTTTCACACTGGGGCGGAGTCCATGATACCAACGGGCTCGGAGGTGTTCCATTGCCTCTGCCACTTGCTAGCAATATTGAAGTGGGTACATACTCTGGATTTCACGTTTTAAGTAAGGATGATCTAGTGACTTGTCCAATTCTAGTGCCTGTCAAGCTAACTTGTCCACTCTCTCTAGTCTACTCATTATCGGGAATTCAGTGTGAAACGCAGTTTATTATCCATATGGTGAAACATAACCAGTGTCATATATATCATATGTGCACGTGCACATATCACTTTTGCCTAGCAACCACTGTTTCCGTATATCATCGTCTGTGACATTAAACAATTGAACGTGACGTCAATGAACAGGGCTGTCCCACTTGCTTACCATGTTTTACTGCACAAATGTACATGAATAAAATGGATAATAAAGAAATTATTACACTCGCAAGTGAACCACACAACTTATACGAAACTCGTGCAACATTGTGTATTGCCCTCGCTCTCGCAATACCAGCCAGTTTATTGTATCAGTCGGAATTTTACAATCAATCAATCAATCAATTAATTAAGAGCAAGAAATACATGTATATGTGAATGAATGAAAGAAATAAAATAGAACAAAAGAAAGACATACATATGTGAATGAATGAAAGAACAAATGATACACTACGGCCATCCCTCTCCAAACAAAACTATCGGTAGAACAAACCTGTTAACATCAGCTGTCCTTTTTTTTTAAATCTACCTTGAGACAGTTTACACATTAGTAACTATCTTATTGCATGTGTGGAATGGCATGGACATTGGCAGAATGTTAACTGACACTGTCACAGACCCCTCAAAAACAGAAAGTTTAGAACTATCACAAAGCGTTGTTTTGTCCAATACTAAGATCAACAAGAAAGAAGTTTTAGAACTATATTATATAACACTCAAGCATCACAAGCATCAATGGCGGATCAGAACAGATCGGCGATATGTCATATTTTTCACACACCTTAAATACACCCTAACAATTTTTAAAAAATTATAAAACTATCACTATTACTTGCAAACACCTTTCACCTGATGGTATATTCCCCTCATAAAAATTAAAGGTGTATGTGAAAGACGTTTAGAACAATAACTAGAAACACTCAAACAACGCCCTGTAGTATTTCAATGGCAGATCGGAGATATGTCATATTTTTCACACATCACAAATACACCCAAACAATTTTTTTAGTTATAAAACTATCACTATTACTTGCAAACACCGTTCAACTAAAGGTATATTTCCCTTTCTAAAAATTAAACGAATATGTGAAAGAAGTTTTTAGCGATTAAATTTAGTCTTTCTTCGCTGTGTACCGAGAATTGAAGCCAGTTACTGTACTAATACTGACACTAATAACACTTATTTGACTTAAAATCAAAGTGACAGAATAGGTAACTTATCTTATGTTCTAATTCGCTTCGCTCAAACGAACATAAAACATTTACCAAGTATAACATACTCGTAATACAGGGTGCTGTCTACCGCGCCTCGAGTGCGAGCAGGTTTATTTCTGAAGTTTACATAGCAAGAACTCATCGACACAGATCACAGATATAAATGCGATATCGCGCAAGTCCATACACTGCCCAATCGGTTATCCTTCCATAGTTCGCACGAACAAAATGCCGGATCTCCACGTAATCATGCATCCTTGAGTCTTGTATACACCTGAGACGACTCAGCCCTGAGCTGAACTGCCTCTGAAACAAGGTCCATAAAAGCCATCGATACAATTGCAAACTTCTATAATAAGTAACTCTAACGTTGACTTAAATGGAAATATAATCCCTTGCTTTACTTAATATTCGGGAACATAACCCATCGTTACTTTAAACATTTGCAAGTAACTACAGAAAAATAAACCATTTAAGACCCACACAAGAATTGCCAGCCTAAACATAAAGCATACTTAACTTAGAATATTGACTGTTCCTCTCCATAAGATTCGTCTCTGTTGAGTTGTTGCCTGTGTCCCTGTCACCAATCCCAGGATGCGTGCAATTCTTTCTATTTACTTCTGCTGATCCTCAATCAAGTAACTTTGTATATCACCATAACATCACATCCGTGGCCTACATGTGTACAGCACGACCCAGTGGCCTACATTCGTAACACACGGCCCACTGGCCGAACACACGGCCCAGTGGCCCTGTCCCCAATGAAAACAAAAACCAAGGCAAAGCTACTCGCCTGAGTAACGCGTACACCTCGAGTGACGAAACAATATCTTCAACCCACCTTGTAACCTTCTACCACGTGACTAAACAAGCACAACTTCTCGTGCAGCACATGCCCCCACGGTAGTCCGTCTAGACTACCGTATTTACCCTAGATAAATTTATTTCTACATGTAGGTTTTCAGTTGTCACAACACTCAGCGAATGTAATCAGCTGTTGAAAATAAACCGGGCTCAATCTTAAAAACTACGCTCCCGCCATATTGGCTACACTGGTCACGTGACAAGCCGAGGCATACGCTAAGGGGCTGTTCAAGGAGTTACCACTCCCCGTTATATAGTCTCCCTGGTATAAGTCATATGACACACTTGCTCGTGTAATAATCTCTGTTGATTATTCATATGGTGAAACATAACCAGTGTCATATACAGAGAATACTACACTCGGTCTCATTACATACGAATTATAGGAAACGAGTGTCCTTCCTATGGTATCTGACCTCGCTTTCGCTCGGTCAGATACCATAGGAAGGTCATGAGTTTCCTATAATTCGTATGTAATGAGACCGAGTGTGGTATTTTAATTATTACCCACGTCTTACATGCATTAAATTCACAAAATAGCGTATTTTTTTATATGTTTATGGTTTCAAACCGAAACCGTTTTCATAAAGAGGTTGCGGAAGAGTAGTACAGTGTATTGTAGTACAATATTTGCATGACGTCACACTGTAATGACGTCACTGCCTTGGTAACCGACGTCACGATGCATGTCAGTTGTCATCGCCTCGTACAGCCTCCTACAGTAAACTTCTCCGTAGCACCCCGTTTCTTTGTTTGCAGTTGCTTCATTCGGCTAACATCACTGGTGGAAACATTGCGTTTATGTTTTCCGATGGATATAATCATGTCTCAGTTCGACTCACAATTAAACAGCGGCACGGCAACGTTCGCAGTGTTTACATTCCCACAATTTAAGTTGTAGAATGAATGAATTAGGAGATAAACATCATGTGTTGGCCACTTTCCGGGTGTTATTGAGTATTTGAAGCACGGGAATTTGGAACCGACGGCTTCAGCCGGAGGTTTCAAATGGAATATTCCCGTGCTTCAAATACTCAAAAACACCCGGAAAGTGGCCAACATATGATGTTTATCGTAAACACAAAAGTAAACCAAAACGTCCACACACGTTTTTGTGTCTGCACTCCTTGACATCGTGTACGGGTACAGCAGTGAAATGTCATCAACCGGCCGTTTCGGCTGTCTCTCATGGTAGCATCTGGAATAAGCTGGTTCCCGGCTCCCTTTGCGCGCGCTAACGTTCGACAAAGCTATTGCGATATGCGAGACGGGGCCCAGCTTACATCTGGAACTGCTCATTTGTGACGTCATTCGGACTTTACGTCACAATATGATTTGAATGACGTCATCACAGCTGACGACGTAACAATACAATATGGTGTGAGCGATGTTTGTATGTATTAATACGCATCGAATTTCCGGGAATCGAATACCATTTGATCATGCTTTTCAACCAATCAGATTTAAGAACACAGTGACTTTTGGTTTACAATTCACGTGTTTGTTATGAATGAACAAGTAGTTCCGTCACAACGTGACCTAACTGAGAGGTCATCGGTTATCCAATCAAATCGTTAGAATCTCAGGTCAAGTCGTTACCACACAGGTCAACGCGATACGACACTCGTGTGACGTACGAGATTAATATACAACTACCCATACGTTGACCACGTGGGTAATAAATATCATTTTCGCTCGGTCAGATACCATAGGAAGGACACTCGTTTCGTATAATTCGTATGTAATGAGACCTCGTGTAGTATTCTCTATATGTGCACAGGTGCACATATCACTTTTGCCTAGCAACCAATGTTTCTGTATTTCGTCGTCTGTGACGTCATTAAACAATTGAACGTCACGTCAATGAACAGGGCAGTCACACTTGCTTACCGTGTTTTACTGCACAAATGTACATGAATAAAATGGATAATACAGAAATTATTACACTCGTAAGTGTGCCACACGACTAATACGAAACTCGTGCAACATTGTGTATTGCCCTCACTCGTTTCGTATAAGTCGTATGGCACACTTGCTCCTGTAATAATCTCTATGTAATGTTCGTTCTCATAATCCTCGTTTACTTTTGGTATGCGAATCAAGATACCTCGGGTGGTGTCAGGTCCACAAGAGGAGTGTTTAGATGCCAGTGAATTCAATGCACTGAGAGAGTTAGAAATCAATGACTATTCGTTTGTCTATAGAGTCTGTACCTTAATTAGTGCATGATATGTGGCTTCTTATTCCGCTGTGCAGACCGACAGTCAGTGGTTTTGTTTTCATATTCTGCAATCCATTTTTAGTAGTACCCGGTGGACAGGCCCTTTTCTTGGCCTGAGCTGCACTCCCACATTACTCAGATGCTTACCAAGTGCTCGATGGACCAGTTGCGGTTTTCTGAAATGCCGTTTTAGAAATATGACACGACAAACGACATAATTGTTTGTGGTGTGCTGACATATGGTGAACAAATTCGTGAAAAAAAAATCTTCTTGTGGTAGCTGTTGTTAAAAATGAGCAATGTTCGTTTTTAAGCATCAGTAGCCGTTTTGATAGAATGCCATTTTAGCCTCCAACCGCTATGACCAAATCGGTTAATCTGCTTTGGTGTTGAACCGTTTGACGACCGTCGAAAACGAGGTTGTTGTCATTATGGCGGCTTCCCTAGCAAAGTGACGCTTTGAATTATTTCTAAGAAGCAAATATGAAGAAGTTTTTCAAAAACATAACGAAGAAATCTCAAGCAAAGGGTCCACCAACGGAGCTTGACACAGGAGCCAAGCCGAGTGGTACATCTTCGTTTATTGGATATGAAATAAAGGAGAAAGAACTTGGAAAACTTCACAAGGCTGCATGGTTGAATGATTACGACAAAGTCAAACAGTTAGCCAAAAAAGATCCCAGCTGTCTTGACAAAGAAAATAGGTGAGGATAACTTGAACCATTAAATTATCAAGAGAATGATAAAGTAGATAAACCCCACAATATTGCGTTAAGTTATTGACGAGTCAAGCCAAGCATTTTGAAGACACAATGTTAACATGATTTGACACGAACACGGGGCAAGAATGCATACCATGGATACTTATCCCCGTGTTTTTTAATGTAACCGAAAAGTGAACAGTGTACAAAAATTACATTCGTGCAGCACTGAATGGGAAAGACTTCTGCTTGTATCCCCCGTAAGTTTAAAATCGTATTACCATGATTACTGGCTAGCGAACAGTTATCGCCATATTTTAGCGGTATTTATAAAATTACCCTGCTGTTCGTTAAATTAATGAAACAGAATTAATTATGATACTTAATTAGCTATTCACTGATGTGTCCACCCCATTCACTGCTGCCGATCTTTTTTTTTATATAACGCGGCGGAAGGGGATCATGGCAGTACAAATAGATGTTTTCTCACAACTAACTGTAACACTACAGTTATCGCCATTTCAGAATTTCTCATGCCATTCGTGAAATAATATCCCGGTGTCAGGGGTTTTCGACGATGTAAGACAAAAACGTAATTTTTATCTGTAATATCATTTAAAGTTTTATTTTACAAAACTCGAGGGATAAAGGATATATTCATCTATTTCACACAAAAATATCAAGTGTTTCCTACAAAAATAGCATTGATGACATCATATCGGCAAAACAGTTGCCGCTCGTAACATCCGGGTATTTTGTATGGGTTTTCGACGATGAGCCATTCTTTTTGCTCCGCACTGCGAGGGAGTGTTGTGATCACGTGGCTTCCTATTTATATATTGCCTGTCACCAGCAGACGACTGATCTTACTGAATTTTCGCTTGCTATTTTTGGTTATAAAGGCAACTGATTTTGCATCTAAAGTGGTATTAACTATCTCGGGTAAATAATAGTGATGTTTGTTGGCTTTTTATATAACTTTACTTCCCGATTTCCATTGTCAATAAAACTTCTCACTACAGCGACTGGGCACCCGCCCTACCAGTGAAACTGTTTGTGCACTCCAATCGCATACGTACTCACCAGATATAGCGCAAGCAATGAAATCGTCGAAATCACCAGAATGTCGAATTCAGCTCGTGTTGGGATATATATCTTTATCATACAGTAACCTCGAATAATTGATTGTGTGACTATATAAGTGTTTCTTTTACAGTAGATTGATAGGGAATGAAACAATTAATGACTTGTGAACTTGAACTTGCCATTATATACAGCGTGTGGCCATATTATTACGTACAATTGTAACAGCATTGATATCGCGTATAGCGATGTCTGTTTTTAAAGTACTGCTACTCAAAAATGACACCACGTATCGTCGTAATATTTTGTCACATGATCGACCATGATGTCACGTGTGTGTCACGTGACTTTATTTTTAATCTATTTGTCGTCTGCTACATATTCTGGCTATTTCCGGCAACAATGGGGAAATCGACTGATTTGTCGGAGCCACAAGAAATAAATAAAAAGTTTCAAAGTGGCGAAAAATGTTCTAACATTGCAAGATTCTTTGGAATGCCTCCAAGCAGCTTATCTTCGGTGGTCAAGCGGTTTAATCAACGTGGATCAGTTGAGAATGCTCTCAGAACAGGCTGTATGAGAAAACTGACTCCTCCGGACATTCGACAACTTTTGAGGTTGGCCAGAGACAATAGGATTTCACCTTTGGGTGAAATAACTGAGAATTTGAACAAAAACAGGGCTCCATGTGTATCGGTGAGGACTGTAGGGAGACGATTATATGAAAATAAATTTCATAGACGGGTTGTTAGAAAGAAAATCCGAATAATCCGACTATAATGTCAGAAATCGTTTGGCCTGGGCAAGGGGGCAACGATATCGTACAGTGAATAATTACTGGAATCGAGTAATCTTCTCTGACAAGTGTAAAATTATCATTGGGGAGAACAATCGTGTTTTTGTTAGGAGACAGCCCGATGAAGAATACCTCCCGCAATGTCTTTGTCTGGGACGACAACCACGCGTCAGTTTGATGGTGTGGGGTTGTATCACCTGATATGGTGTTGGTACCATTTGTGTTGTTAATGGCACCGTAAATGCTCAGAAATACACAGAAATCCTTGATGATATGCTTTGGCCCGTTATAGCCAGACATTTTCCGAGATGACAACACCCCTGTACATCGGGCCCGTCTTGTTGAGGATTACTAGCGACAAAATGACATTACTGGAATGTTGTGGCCTGCACAAAGTCCAGACGCAATAATATTGGCTCTACCTGAAGAATAGACTTCAGTGACGCCGAAGAAACATTCAGTCGGCTGCCGACTTGGAACGCGAAGTGGGGGAAAAATGGGGAAATATTCCCCTTGATTTCATCAGAAATTTTTATTCATCGATTCTAAGGCGGATGTTGAAAATAATAAGGAACAAGGGACATATCACAAAATATTGAGATAAGAGCTGTTTATATTTAACGAGTTATGACACTTTGAACTCATGCGTAAATTTGTCGTCAACAATCGGTTGTACGTAATAATATGGCCACCCGCTGTAGATCGTGTGGGTACACCTACAGTATACTGGATACATACCAGCCATATTGTTTAGTGTCACATCACCCTATCCCTAACCCTAATCCTTTCCCTAACCCTAAATCTTACCCTAACCCTAAATAAACATTACCCCAACTCTAAGTAAACTCCCGTGCTTTCAAAGATGGCGGAAGGTATCTGGTATTCTGTAGTCTTACTATCGTGTGATATCCCCCCCGACTAATTTAAAAATAATTTAAAGGGTTCATAACTTTATCCATATTTTTTCTCTAATTTTACTTACTGTGAAGAATTATCTTTTGCTGTCCTTTATTGTTGCCAAATACCATGGGGAAAAATACCGGAATTGTAATTGACCGGACGTGTGATACTGATGTCTTGGCGATAACTGTTACGTGGCAATAACTGTTTGCTAGCCAGTACAGAAATACATACAGATATATCCTTTTAATCATCATTATAATTAAGGGGGGATACAGGCGGAAGTCTTACCCTATCGGGTTGTAAAACCAGAGCACCTTTAGAATTCAGCACCACATCTTCTCATGCAGACTGTCTCTGCTGTACTGCAGGTAAGATATCACTAAGACATGCAACCAGTTTTATGAGAATCAATCGGACATGAACCTGCAACTTCGGATTGTTATAGTTAGCCCATGGGCTACTTATTACTGAGCCACTTATTCTGCATATTTATCACGTTATGCCTGAGGGTTACAGATATGAACATAAAGGGTCGAATAGGTCAGGGGGCAATTAAGCATGGTGTCTCATGATTTTAATCTATGGACAATTTAAAAATGCTGCTGATGCCATTTGGCACACTTGCAATTTTCCGCAGTCTGCAGTGATCAAGGAAGACATGAATATGTCTGGTGATACCACAAGGGTGAGTCTGCTATCGAATCATTGGGAAACAAATGTAGTGTGTTAAAGTGGTTCAGTGTAAGTTCCATGACTATTTCCATCTCGTTTTTATTACAAAACTAGAGCCTAAAGAACCAACTAATTTATTACAAAAGATGTGTCCTGCTAAATGTGACGGTAGATCACCGAAGGATGTGTTCAGCTTCGATAGATATACTTAATAAAGTCCATTCCTGTGTACTGATGTAAATTGCTGAATGAAAATAAAAGTGCATTAGTTCTCATTTATAAACCATTTTAGTCCCATAAATTAAGTTAAAAGCGAAATATAAAATGTTTATAAAATAAAAGTACCTTCATAAACTGGCCCTTGCTATGAAATATCCACATTGAAATTGTAGGACTGACTGACTGAGTTTTAGTTTTACGCCGCTTTTAGCAATATTCCAGCAATATCACGGCGGGGGACACCAGAAATGGGCTTAACACATTGTGCCCATGTGGGGAATCGAACCCGGGTCTTCGGCGTGACGAGCCAACGCTTTAACCACTAGGCTACCCCACCGCCCTGAAATTGTAGGAAAACTGGGTTAAATTGTAGCGTAAGCAGGGGGACAGGGGCTTCATAACAGGATATTCAAACAATACGTACCACATATAGAATAACTGTGTACCAGATAGTCTTCTTGTAGCACATTGTTTCACCTGCTCTACTACGGGACATCTTCTTGACCGGGGTTACTGTTCATTGTAGCGCTAGATTCATTGGATAAGCCACGTGGTTGGCGCTAAATATGTTGGGTAGGCTCTGATTGGCGGAGACGTCCGTCATCAGTAGATGAACTTTGACTTTGACCCATGTCAGAGGTCGTTCTAGAGCGCTATATAAGTGACCTGGCTCTCTGGATTCAGTGTCTAGCTTTCGGTCATCTGAGCAACATCAGGTAATATCTCTGTCCCAAGGTCCTGTTTCAGGATCATTCCCTCCCCATTTACAGAGTGGAATGTTCGGTCTTAAGTAGGGAGATGCTAGGTTCCTTTTTCTAGTGTTAGGTCGAGTTGGGGGAAAAGTAGAAGTAGGAAACGGAATAGGAATTAGGCTAGAGACTTTGGGTAATGTTCAGTTAAAACAGGGTTGGTTTGGGTGGTTTTTCAGAAGTGTAAAGGTTTTCATGTAGTTATGTGAGTGAGTGAAATGTGTCATTTATAAGCTGTTAAGTTTTTGTTTGTAATTTTCTACCTAATTTTTTGTAATAAACTATTGTTGTTCTTTTTGTCTCTGTTATTTCCCAATAGGCTTTATGCCTGATTCACGAACTGGTCACTGACTTTTGAGTAGAGAACAAGTCAACCAGAACGCACACCTATAAAATAAAAGTACACGATGCAAAGTCCAAACAAGGTTGATTCAAGATCATGTTCCTACATACTACTTAGCTTAACTCAGCTGTCACTGGGCGATGGTAGTCTACTGAGAACCACGCCTATTACAAATCATTTATGTTTTGGTATTATCACAAGTCATAAGAAATTATGAAAGAACTGCATGACTAAAGGAAGATATATGGTGGAAGACCCTATTTAACATGTAGATTAGCCCTTAGATTCCCTCATTCCACCATGTAAGTATTTTTTTGATTATTGTTGCACCATTTTAATGGAGTACTACTAGCCTTATCTTCAAATGTAATGAATTTACAAAAATATTTACACCATTTTGTTTGACGTCAAGACTTGTTTTATGTGTGTAAGGCCAGACCAATTGTATTTCTTGTTTTACGGATCTGCCGGTCGCATTTTTGTCCAGAATAAGAAAAAATTAAATTAATTTTCCCCACTCTAAAAATAAATCCTAATGTTTTTATTGCCCCAAAATGTAAACTTACAAAAAAATTAATTTTTTGATAGTTTTTTTGCCCCATATACACTTCATAAATTGCCAAAAGTAAAACACTTTTAGTATTTAAAAGTAATATTACTTTGACTGTTGATTTTTTTTTTTTTTTTTTCCCCTCCTGCCTCTGGCTTTTCTGAGGATAAAAATCCATAAAACAAGAAATTAAATTGGTCTGGCCTAATTATACAATTTATAGTTTGCATTTAGAAGATAAAGCTACCGTTTTCAATTTTGCGGTCCTTTATCAATGATGCCCGCTAAATGTAATTTAAACCGAATGCATTTAGCTCGCAAGAACACAAGGCATAAAAGGGTCTTTTTCCTGGAAATTGCATGGAATCGTTCCGTTGAGGGACAGGTTGTGTAATGAACAAACAACATGAATGTTTTATTTCGGGAACCAGTTTGCATGTATTTGTAACAAATAGCAAGTCAAAGTCAAAGACCTTTATTCTGCATGAAGGCCATCGGACCATATACATATAACATATATACAATCAAAATATGTTGGAAACATGATGTAAAACCATTAAGAGTTTAACAAAGTCTGTCTCTTTTTATAAGCAGTATATATGAATTTGCATAAATTTAATAATGCTTCATTTGAAGCAGAAGTTAACAGGCTTTTGAATAGAAATATATTTGGAATGCGGTTGTAAACATGTGGAAAATAAGATAATCTTTCTTCAGAATAATATTTGCATACTAAAAGAAAATGGAATTCATCCTCTATACTGAATTTACAAACAGGATATGTGCATAGAGATACATCAATATTCAACCATCTTCCTTCATTTATTTTTAATTGTAATAGGCCTGCTCGGAATTTTATAAGAATATTACGATGTTTGTTTTCATGTATAACACTTAAATATTTTTCAGGTTCTAGTAAACTCTTACATTCTCTATACAAATTGTAGCGTGAACTGTTGTTGAGAGTACAATGCCAACATTGGTAAAACATATTTACACATACATCTTTAAAACATCTAATAAAATCAACCTTATTGCCTACACTTTGTGCTAACCATACAAAGCCAAATCCATGTGAAAAAAGTATATTACCGAAGATGAGAAGCATAATTATTTTACCCAATTTTATGTACATATACTGACATGTCATATGATTTTTTGGGTATTCTACCAGAGTGCATTTCTGTAAGATTTAACCAATATTTAATAACTCGACATGAGGCATTTATATACAAAGGATATCGTCCACATTCACCATTTACTATAACATTTGGCGTTTGTAATCCTACATTTAGAAATCTCTTACATGCAAGCAAATTAACTTTTTTAATATTCTCATTGATTGATGTGTAACAAATAGCATAAATAGATTACAAAAATACAGTTCATAGTGTGAGCAAGTACAATTATTTGATTTTTCTCAAGCAAAGTACCAATCTCCCCTACTGTATGACAATTGACTCGCCCCAATTCAAGCCATGAACTCACTAAGTTTGGTCGCTGCTAACTATACTCACAGAAGTAACTGTTGGTAACAGCACTAGTGACGCTACTATTCCCAATTTTGGAAAAGACCAGACATGCTAGCATTTATGTGGGAAACATGAACAGTGGAAGTGGAAGTACTGGGCATTACGTCCGGGACGCAAGGGACAGGCTTTGACGTGTGTTGTAGATGTCATGCCCGCCAGATCTAACCCTTTCGTGCTGCTGATGAATTATCGCTACCTGTAGAATTTTCCTGCTTCGAAGTTTCTTCAGCGGGGATTAGGCTCAATGAATTCTTCTTCAAACCATTTGCTTTTTACTTCAAAAAACATTAAAGATGCTGCCGAGATTGAAATTGCTGATGTCGGACATGTTTGTTTACAAATAAAAGGGTCAACGGGTTCATTGTATTCATACGCGGTGAATCGGTCACTTTAATTAGCGGTCCTTAAAGTGCCATTTAAGTATGGTTTTGATGAGCTCTCAGCCACTCAGAATTGAGTATCACACAATGTCGTGCTAGAATTTCTATTTATACACTATATTATTTCAGAACACCCTTACATTTGGCATGTGCACAAGGTAATGCCAAGGTGGTTCAGGAGCTCTTGGAATGGAAGGCGAAGACCAACATTGGTGACAACAACAGTAAGACTCCACTGATGAAGGTAATAACTGCCATCAAGAAATATGGGAACTAATGAAATGTTATTGGTGTAATGATGATAAATGTCAGGCACATTGATCAATGTGTGGTGTGTTGACCATGTTGGTGTGAAACCTCACATATTTTCTCCTTGTGCTTATGACAGCATCTAAAATTATATAAGTTGTCTATTAACGTTTTTCAATAATCACTTATGAATTTTTTAAGTGCGTAAATAGGTATACTTTGTTTCAACATATGTTAAGAAATTTAAATACAATGTATCTCCTTTCCTGTCATTTTCTCCAAGAGAAAAAATCCATAGCATTCTTAGAATATATTTCAATACTGAAATCACATGTTCCAAAAGGGATATGGAGAGGTGATGACAGACACACTTGACCCTGATCAGCCAGCCGGCATGCATTTAAGGGAGAATACTAGACAATTGCAATAATTTGCTGGGTGAAAGATAAAGCCATCAGAAACATGTACCCCATTTGTTTTTGTAAAAATATGGTTTATTATGTTTTAATCGCGAAAACAGTTTCTGTTATATGAGCTTCGTACATTATGCATATTCTGCTGGAACTCACGTGACCTTTCCACTTGTGACGTCATATATGACTAGAGTCCGCCATATTGCCAAAGAACAAGCGCCAGAGCAATACAAATCGTGTTGTTTCTGCGACAGATTTAGGCAGGAGAAATGTTCTGATCATTCCGAGTCGGGCGCATATGAAAGAGACATACACACATGGGGTATGAAAATCCAGAAGCTAAGCTGAAGAAGTACCCACGAGATTCATTTTAAACTCCATCATTGCCTGTTACAACTTACTGTCAGTGGTATTTTTAACATAAATTAATTCAAAAGGGATACGGAGAGGTGATAACAACTCTCTCTCCATCAAAGAAGTAAATTAAATCAAGTCTGATTGCCAGTCAAATTGCCCCAGCTACTAAATGCAACTGCAAATTTGGTCAAATTGCCACAGGGGGGCAAAATCAAGTCCAAAAGCCCCAATTCTTTTTAAATGATTAAATATAGACCATAAATGCATAGTTTTTGTCAGCTTTGATACTAAGTTCTTCATATAAAAGTATATACATAGTTATGAGTTTACTAATGGAACATTTATCAGAAATATTACTTCCTAATAAGTTTTATATGAAAAACATAACATCAAAGTTGATAAAAACTATGCATTTACGGCAAATATGTAATCATTTTAAATAAATTTGACCAAATTACAATCAATGACCAAATTTGCTGGGGCATTTTGTAATTGGGGCAGTTCGACTGGTACCCATAAGATATACACAGTGGAATCTGTCAAATCCAGACTCTGTGTAATCGATTTTTTTCTCCATAATCTGGACTACTCACTGAGTCCCGGCAAAATTGTTCTTAACTTATCATTAAAGCTTGCTTTATAATCCGGACTCTCTCAATTATGGATTATGGACTAAAATAACAGTCCCAAACAATCAACTTGCTATGAGAACAATGCTTTACAATCCGGACTAAGCTGACTAAAATAACAGTCCGTTGAATAAACATCTCCCTTACTTCGGTTGGGGTCCTAATCGCGGCTTACTCACACCACAAGACAACTCGGAGTTTCTGTCTTTGATGTAAAACTGAGGTGAAGTACAGGGCTCCAGATAGCTTTTCAACATCAGGAGTACTGGAAAACTTTAAGAGTACATTTAGAGTACTGAATGGGATTTAAAGGAGTATCAGTAATCTTGTATTTCGTTTCATATATGCACCACAACATTGCAATAATCAATAAAACAATACATTTTCAGATAAATACGTCTGTAAATGATTCTAAGACTGTACACCACTGCTGTGGTGCGTATCTGCTACGTTTTCTAAATTATTTCCTACCGTATCGTGCTTATTTTATATCCGCATACATACGCCGATACGACCCTTATCTGGAGCCCTGGAAGTATGTTCTAATAAACATTTTGCTGACCCCTAACGTGGGAACCAGTGTTGGTTTTCTTTTTTATATCATAACGATCACTGTCAACAAGACGGTAATTTTACTCAAAATGTTAAAAAGGAATGTTTCTATTAGCTGCAGTGAAATCGTGTGATCTTCCGATATTTATAACTTCTAGCCACATTATTCACAGCAATCACTACCATATTGCGTCTACTCACACCTCCAAGTGTAGTAGGGGCGGTGGGGTAGCCTAGTGGTTAAAGCGTTGGCTCGTCACGCCGAAGACCCGGGTTCGATTCCCCACATGGGCACAATGTGTTAAGCCCATTTCTGGTGTCCCCCGCCGTGATATTGCTGGAATATTGCTAAAAGCAGCGTAAAACCAAACTCAGTCAGTCAGTCAGTCCAAGTGTAGTTGACATATTTTGTTTCGCTTAAAGTCATAAATGGTGTAGCTGAGCTAGTACATGTCAACAAACTGTTTTCGCGTGAAGCCTCATCAGTGACAGGTCAAATTGCTCCATACATAAAAACTATCCGGCTATACACTAAAGTGCTGTCGCATAACCTTAGTTATGATCATAAATATTTTACATTGATAGAGCAAAATCTGCAATTGAAATGATGCAATGCTAAAATATATTTCTGTTTATAACATAATAGTTTCAAATACTATATTGTTCTGATCATTGCATCAGAATTCATTTCCTTATATTATTGCGTATGTTTTAACTAAATCACCGGTAGTCGTTGTGCACAGCTGATTCCTATTTCCCGGCTCTGCATACAAAACAAATACCCACAGTAATCTTATTCCCTGCATATAATACAATGCGTAGCAAAAACAAATTAGAACTGAAAAGGTAAATAATATCGTCAAGGGATGTTTAATTGCAAATTTGACGTCTTTACTGACAAAGTCTTCTGTTGTTTGATCACGCGAAGCGATGTGATGTCGTTTTCTTACCCCCTGAAAAAAAGTACGGTTAAATATACAGTAACTCATCGTGGCAGTGTCTATGGTAACGGACAAAAAGTTGTCCTATCCGGACCGCTTTACAATCCGGACAAATGAGTAAGTCCCAGGCCAGGTCTGTAATGGACAGTTTCCACTGTATTATCAAAATCAGTAAGATTTCACGTGATGCCAGTGCAGCGTGTGCATAAAACAGAGAATCATGTGGAGTTCTGTCATATTTTCGTTGGATAGCGGTGGTAGCAGTTAGTCAAAATGAGAGACGAAGACGGCGATATCTTCATTACGCAATCTTCTTTTAAACCTTCGGACAGTGATGAAAACGAGACACAAGACGATGCTTTTAAGTACCGTTTTGGAAAGCCTCTTACCAGTGAAGAACTTCGGAAAAACACTGAAATCTGCAACGATGGCAAGAGGAGCGACGCATGAGGTCTCTTTCAGATAATGTTGAGATGCCTTCTCCATGTTTGTTTGAAAACGTTCTGGAAATGATTCCACAAAATATTAACATCGCCTTACAATATTTTGCCTTTGAAGCCAGAAAAAATGATGGCACAAACTATCCCTCAAATTCTCTCTATGGGTTGTTTTCGGCATTGCAGTCAAGTTTACAAGGAAAAGGTCGAATTTCTAAACATTTTTGAGGATGATGAATTTAAAGCAGCCAGAAATAGTTTAGATACAAGCATGAGGTGCCTTTCTAAATGTGGTTTGGGAGCTGCAAGTAGGAAGAAAACGCACGTCATTTCAACAGAGGAGGAGGAGTGTTTGTGGGAGCGAGGCAGTCTTGGAGAGGACAGTCCAGCACAACTTTTAGATACAGTACTGTATCTTACAGGTATGGTTTAGAATAATTTCAGTATAGCAGTAACATTTTGAAGTAAATGATTAACCTTCGAACAGTCTACATGTTATTCACTGCTTTATGAAGAAATGCCAGCAGTAAAATGCATAAAAACTTTAGGTATCTTTATTTCTTAGTTTGGCTATCGTTCATTATCCTAGCTAGTATGCAGGTGCTCCGTATCCAAAAAGTAAGTTTATGTTCTACTTGTTTCAGGCCTTCATTTTGCCCTGAGGGGAGGCAAGGAACACCGAGATTTAAGATTGTGGAACAACCCCCAAATCACTGGCCTACATCTTGATGCGCGAGGACATCGTTATATGCTGTATAAAGAGGATAGCAGTAAAACAAATCAAGGCGGCATCAACGACCGAAAAACTACTCCGAAAGAAGTGAGGGTATATGAAAACGGAAACAAAGATAGATGTTTCGTTAGGCTGTTTCAGAAGAAAAAGTCTCTGTGGTAGGTACCGTATATTACCGTCTATAAGCCGAATTTTGAGGACCAAAAAAAGCAGTGTGTAGAAGGGGGTCGTCTTATCCATGGGTTACGCGTTCGTCAAACTTTTTTCCAGGGGTAAGAAAACAACATCGTATCACTTCGCGTGAACAAACAACAGAAGAAGACTTTGTCAGTAGACAATTAAACATCACTAGACAAGATTATTTACCTTTTAAGTTCTAAGTTGTTTTTGCTGGGCATTGTATTATTTGCAGATTACCGTGTGTATCTGAGCCGGAAATAGCAATCAGCTGTGCACATGTTTCCCGACGATCAAGTTCAAACATGCACAATAATATAACGGGACGAATTCTGACGCAGTCATCAGTAAAATATAATACAGAATACTATTATGTAAGCCAAAGAAATATAACCTAGCATTGTGTAATTTTAATTACAGTTTTGGCTCTATAAATTAATTAAGATTAAGATTACTGTGTGTATTTGAGACGGAAATAGCAATCAGCAGTGAACAAGTTCAAACATGCACAATAATATAACAGGATCCGAATTCTGGACGAGTCGTCAGTAAAATTTAATACAGAGTACTATTATTTAACCCAAAGAAATATAACCTAGCATTGTGTAATTTTAATTACAGTCTTTATGTAAAATATATATAGTCAACACTAAGGTTATACGGACCCTCATGAACGTGGTAAGCAGAAGTTGTACGCACATGGAATGAGGTAAAATACGGAAGCCATTTAAATTAACACAATTTTACTGATGTTAC